CTGATGTATGATCTCCTACCTCTTGGGATTTTAGTAGTTGTGGGTTTTTTTTTTCTTTATTCCCTAGATGTAGTTCCCTTTCCTATATTTTCTGTTGTAGTTTTCTAGTCTGAAAAAAAAAACCCAATAAAAACCTCCCCCTAGGGGGATGGGGAAAAAAAGATTTGGAAGGGTTGCTAGGGCAGAGGATTTTAGTCCTACCTATGCTTCTCTAAATAATCACTCCAAAGTGGCAGTTAGCTCTGTGGGGGTGGGGGAAGACATGTACAAAACCCCGTCTTTTCAAACCTGCTGTGCTAATTGCAGCTTTGGAGAATCTATTTTAATTAAACATCATCTTTCCCCACCAACCTTTCCTCATTTAAAAAAGAAGATCCCATTCAGGAATACCCTAATCACAGATCTTTCGTATATTGTCTGGCTTGCTCCTGTTTACGGGGGAGGGGGCAATGAATCTTTATGTTAAGTGCATGCTCACATACATACACACTATGGCTCACATATGCTGCAAGGAATCCTCTCTGTTTTAGTTGTCTGTGTGTGGACTGCAACTTCTATGAAAGCCCTGACAGAAATCCTAATGACTTACTCAAGGCAGGAATAATAAATGTTAAGAAAGTACTGAAGCATCTTGGTTGCAGGCCAGTTAGAAATCCTGCTTTTTGAATAAAAGTGTTCAAGAATCCTACTATATAAATTCATATTTCATCTGTTTTAAAGACCTTTAAGGACTGGGGGCCCTGAGTCCAATGTTCCCTCTAAGTGGGGGAGTCTTGTGAGCAAAAATTCTACTTTGTGAGCTACTGGCATTAAAGTTGTGAGCAAGCGATTTGGCTACTGCATAAATTAGTTTGCTCTGGAGCCTTCCTTCCTGAGCTAAGACAGAAATGTGTGAGCCGGAGGCTAAAAAACTGTGAGCTAACTCGCACTAACTCAGCTTAGAGGGAACAGTGGCCCTGACCATGATGGTCCAGGCTAGACTGACCTTGTCAGATCTGAGAAACTAACCTGGGGTGGCCTTGGTTAAGAACTGGATGGGAAACCACCAGGGAAGTCCATGGTAGCTATGAGGGTTGTCAGCCCTGGGTTGGGAAATACCTGGAAATTTTGGGGGTGGAGTGGGGTTTGGGGAGGGGAGGGAATTCTCTGGGGTATAATGCCATAGAGTCCACCTTCCAAAGTGGCCATTTTCTCCAGGGGGACTGATCTTGTCACTTGGAGATCAGTTGTAATCCCAGGAGATCTCCAGCCACCACCTGGAGGTTGACAATTGTTGGGTATTTGCATGTTGAAAACACTCAATGTGTGTATAGGGTTAAATGTCTGTTCTGTTGTTACAGGAAATCACCTGTCTTTGTGTTAGCCAGTGTTAGCTCAAGTC